ATCTCTCTTTCTCTGTGAGCACGCAGGAGCAGAACATCGATTCTCGCCTGGTGCGTCTCTCAGAAGAGAATCGAGAGTCGAGACGTACAGTACCGCCATCCACCACACCACAACCCCCTCTTACCACTGAGGACCCACGATTCCAGAAAGGTGGACGAGAAGTGCTCTATCTCCCCTCCCCTCCTCTCTCGTCTCTGGACCGCGTCGTACACTGGAGATCACGCCAAACTGCACGATCAATCCATTCATCCCTTGTTTGAGCTCTGCTGGGCCGACCGTTGCTCTCTCGTGTATCCCAAGGCCCAAATCGTGCGTCCGCCGTTTTCTGCTTCCTCTCCCCCTTTCCCGACCCTCTCGTTGAAATTTATATACTTCTAGGAGTTGCATCATGACAACAGCCACTGCTGCAGCAGCAACAGCTTTCTTCGTTCGGACGAGAAAAATGTGAGATCACGGCTGACCCAGGCCGAGTTTCATTTCGTTCATGATAACAGCCGTACAAAGAGCGCTTTGAAACAGCCTTATCTAGGAGGTGCACTAAGTATCGAATGGACGGATGAACGCAAGCAGGCCAATCTATCGGGTTGTTGCACCATCTTACTCCTCTTACTGGCAAACATTTCGAAAACTAGTTACGCCACAAACTTTCACCATTAGGCAATTTTTGAAACTCTAAATTCGCGTCGTCCCTGAAAAATATGTACGCACCACTTGCAATATGGAAATACTAGTAACAACGTATAGTAAACAAACAGAAGTCGAATCCGCATCCTCCGAAAATGTGCTGGACGAATATCTTACGTTAACGGCCGCGAGCAAAGTGTATGGACCGGCCCATTCGGCAGTTGCCCGGCAGACAGCCGAGTTTACAAACCACCCTCACGACTCAGTGGAGCCGCAGAGCCTGAGCGAGACCAAGAGAGAGAGAGCGAGACTCTCTCCCCGATAAAGCCCATCGAATTTGTCCCCGCGAGCATATTTGTAGGCAGCCTCAGCAATACAGTTTTCTTTCCACAACTTCCCCTCCGTCTCTCTGCCCCACTACTACTACTACACCCTCACATTTGGGGGGCATAGCAGCAGCAGCAAGCAGGAGCTAGAAGAGAGAACTAGATTGGAAGAAAGCAATGGAATGGGAGAGGAAAAGGGGAGAGGGAGGGGGAAGGGGAGGAAAGGGTGCTCCCCGCGTATCAGCACCGCGCCGTCCCAGTAGGCAGGCACACCGAAATCAACCCGCGCTCTCCCTCTCCCTCTCTCTCTTCCTCTCTTTCTCGACGGAGACACACGACGGAGGCTATTCCGACGGCGGCGGCGGCGGCCAGGCCCACGACGACAACACAAGCATAGTTTTTGCGAGTTTGCCGCCGCCGTCCCCGCGCCCCTTCATAGTAAGTTTCCGTGCGGCCGCCGCGCCGTCGCGACGCACACTCGATTTAACGGACGACGACGACAACGGCGCAAGGGGGATGCGCGGTGGCGGCCGCCGTCGTCGTATAGGCCGACTTTCCTCCTCCCCCCCTTTCTTCTCAGCAGGGCGCGCAAGTGCGTCGTACGCACAGGATAGCTCGGCTTATATTGAATCTCTTGCCGTCAGAATCCCTCGCCTTACCACCTGGCCGCTGGCCGCGCTCAACCACTTAGCTTCAAGTTGTATTTTTTTCTGTTTTCTTTTAATTTTTCTATTACCCTAAGACTATACGGTAAACGCGCCCCAATTCCCGTGACTACGAAGCATCGCGGAGTTACTTCCCAAATTCTTTCTGCTACTGCTGCTTGTCTATGAGAAGGTAAATGCACAAGCTGCATGAGCCACACACATTTTTTTTAGCTGCCTTAACGCTACATTTCTCCGGATTTTTTGTGGCCCCGTAGTTAGGAGGATCCGCCCGCGCAAGCCAGCTCGCGGATTCCATATATAATTTGGGGAAAAGAAGCACTTGAGCTCCCCTGTTGTCGATGAAGAGATAACGCAGACGGATGTGTCAATTACGGGATGGAATAAAATCACGAGAGCTAGCGAGGCAGTGCTGTACCATAGACGCTGAAAGTGAGGTTCCCCCACCACTTTACCTCCCCTCGCCAGCCGCTCCCCCCCTCCGTGTCGCTTAACTATTTTCATTCCAGCGGCCGCGTTTCTAAAGTACGAGGAAAGTATTTACCATTACTAAATGCTGCGTGTTCAGCTGCTTTTAGGAGCCACAGGTACGGACTTGAAATATGCTCAGGGATAGTTTCTAAGCCAGTTAAAATATGGGCAATCATGGGGCCACCTATAGTTCGAATGACCCGCGAAAATAAGCGACACGGCGGGGGGGTGAGGTAGCCCGAGCGGGTGGGTGGGGTCGGTGGTGGGGGAACCTCACTTTCAGCGTCTATGAGCGCGGGGCGGAGAGAGAAAAGCAGCAGCAAAATTGGGGGTCATATTTACACAAACTTGATCATTTTAGGAAACTGGGTCATATTTATAAATCATTTTATGACAAAACGCGGGTGAATAGAGTTTGAAAGAAGGGCACAAAATCTGCTCCGCAGGTAATATGGATCCCAGTGAGGCAAGCGCACTTTCGTAAAAAGAATTTAGTTAATTAGAGTGCCGTGAAAAAGGTACCCTCCCAAAAAATACATAAAACAATAATTTGTATACCTTTCGGACGAGCTCCGCTTCCACGTTCGGGGAGATGATCGGGTCGGGAGAGGCCCGGCGGCGGGCCCACCACGCCACGCCACGCCGCTATCGCCGCCGAGCGGTGCTCCGCTCACCGGCTCTGCGCGGCGGCCCAGAGGCTGAATGTCGCGGCGCGGCCGGCCCAACTGCAGGCAGGCGACGAGGTGGCCGAGTGGTTAAGGCGTTGGACTGCTAATCCAATGGGCTCTGCCCGCGTGAGTTCGAATCTCATCCTCGTCGGAACGGAAAAACTCCTTTTGCGGCGGTGCGCGCCTCGGCTCAGAAGCAGCGTGGGCCCGACGACGCGACGAACCAGTTTCCGATGCGGAGCGCGGCCGACACGAAGGGCCCCATGGTGTAATGGTTAGCACTCAGGACTCTGAATCCTGCGATCCGAGTTCAAATCTCGGTGGGACCTTACCTTTTTATGTTTTTTGCTCGTAAACACATTGTTTTCCTCCTGAGTCCAGGAGTGCAATTTTAATTTTTATTGACCTCGGCTATTATTTTTATCGGAGAATCAGAAAAGTCTTACACCAGAGATTTGACCGGAAATCATAAGAAATTTTCATAATTTACTTTTAAAAGTCACATTTTGAAAAGCAGTAAGAAAAATGTCAACCCCCTGCAATTTTACTATTTTGATGACAAAACATGGTTGGGACGTATTCGTTAAAACTGGAAACTCGGGATGAAAAGCGTGTAAAACGACAGAATGAACTTCCTAAAAGTACGTAGTATTTGAAACCCTCGTTGAGGTTCCGCATGCTCAGACAAGGAAAGCCTGTGAAGCCTTCTCGCGTATTGACCGGACCAGCAGGACGCGGGCCGCTGCTGGCAGCGTTACCTTCGGAGAAGGGCGCGGCGCGGATGGAGTGAAGATGGGGCATTTGAGGCGCAGTGGGCAGCGCATATAGGGGGAGGCTTTACGGGCCGCCCCCGCGGGGAGGAGGCCAGCGATCATCCCCCAGCTCACCGCACGCACTATATGGTATATGTGACTCGGCGCGAAAGGGAGGGCGCAGAGAGAACAAGGAGAGAGGGAAGGAGAGATTCCGGGGCGTGGTTCTGCCTCGCACCTTTTAGTCCTCTTCGCCATCGGCTCCTCCAGCCGCGGTCAGGGTGGGCCGCACCACCCCCGAGGCGAACTGCACGCCTGACCAGACCAGCTCTGACTTGGAACCTAGGCGTGCGTACCCGCTAGAAAGTCATTTACAGAGCATAATACTCTCAGATCGGTACACTGAATTTGGTTTTGTCAGTCAGAACGATGGTATTTCGTACATAAGGAATTACTGATTGATTTGCCCATTTCTTTCCGTGTAGAGTTTCAGCCAGTATTATAATTTGTCAAATTGTCCGTTTGTAAAACGGAATAAATGAGCATTGCCCATTATATTATACACTCTTAGTTCCTTACAAGGAGTGGTCTTTATATTACAAAAGAATTGGGTTTGTAACGTACAAAGGATCTGGAACCACCATATTACAAACAGATTTTGTTTGTATTACATAGACCACCAGTTTCTGAAAGGCGCGTGCTCTTCGTATTACAAATCCGAGCCCTTTGTAATACAAATGATTTGTTTGTATTACAAAGGTTCCAAATGCTTTGTACGTTACGAAGACCAGGTCTTTGTAAGAAACTTCACAGCCTCGATGTTTGTTTGCTCAACGATCTGGTATTAAGTTGTACAAAACGTTCAAATCAATTTTTTTAAATCTATTTTTATTTTGTGATAAGATAATGACCCCTTACAACAAAGTGTTACAAAATGCAATGGTAAGTATAAGTTTTTGCATTAATTTTGAAGAGCTCAATTCTGTTAAATGATGTGTCAATGCACGTGGCACATAAAAAATCTGAAAAGATCACCAATAGTAAAATAAAGCAATCTTGCGCTAATAAGAAATTACCTATCATCAAGTTTACGATTATACATATATGGTATATTGAATGTAATACAATAATGGACAAGAGGAAAGTAACATGAAGCAGCTAGTCATTTTACAGTACGTGTGTCACCACATGTCTGAGCAAATCGCCGTACATAAAAAAACTATCGCCGCACGAAGGACACTTGAAAAGATCTTTGAGATGGGCTTCTAGATGACTTCTTAGGGCTTCAGGTGTAAAAAACGTCCCCTGGCAGACGGTACATTTATACAGTAGTTCTTGCGTGTGAGTGCGTTGATGATTTCGCAGAGGTTCAGATGGAGAGAACTCCTCTTCGGTCATGGTACACTCAGACATCTCTCTTGTGTGCGTTCGCACATGTGAGCGCAGTTCAGCTGACCGAGAGAATGTTCTCTGGCATACGGTGCAATCGAATACCTTCTCCACTGAATGGTCTCTCGGTTTCTCTCCGGAGTGGACTGTTCTCATGTGCCTTCGAAAGTTAGCTCCAATAGAAAACTTCATTTTACACACAGAGCACTCGAACGGCTTCTCTCCAGTGTGGGTTCGCAGATGACCCCGCAAGGCACTTGCTTCAGAGAACTTCTTCCCGCACACTGTGCACGCGAACGGCTTCTCTCCGGTATGCGTTCGCAGATGAGAACGCAAGGCGCTTGTTACACTAAATTTCATCTCACAGATAGAGCACTGGTGTGGCTTCTCACCAGTGTGGGTTCTCATGTGGGCTTTCAGATTGCCAGAGTCGTAGAACTTCCATTTACACACTGTGCACTCATACTGCTTCTTTCCCGTGTGCAACCGCATGTGTCTATGCATGTTGCCCCGTATAGAAAACGTTTTTTGGCAAACGATGCACTCGTACGGCTTGTCTCCTGTGTGAGTTCGGAGGTGACATTTAAGACCGCCGAGTGTAGAAATTTTCATCCTACACACGGTGCACTCGTACGGCTTCTCTCCGGTGTGGGTTCGGATATGCGATTGTAGCTCGGCAGAGGTATAGAACTTGCTGACACACTCAGTGCATTCGAATGATTTCTCGCCTGAATGTTTTAGCATATGAATACGCACATAGCCAGCAGTGGTATACTTCTTCATGCACACTGTGCACTGAAAATGTTTTTCTTTTGTATGGGTGCTCACATGAGACTCTAAATGAGTTGCCCTAGCAAACTTCTTGTGGCATATGGTGCACTCGAACAGCTTCTCGGGTTTCTCGTCTGTGTGGGTTCGGAGGTGACTTCTGAGCTCGGCAGACGTACAGAACTTCTTGTCGCACATGGCACACTCAAACGGCTTTTCTTCTGTGTGGAATCGACGCAAATGCAGCCGTAGCTCACTAGGCGTGCAGAACGTGCGCTGGCAAACTACGCACTCGAACGTATTTTCTTTTGTGTGGATTCTCTGCAGATGTCGACGCAGGTTGATATATTTGGAGAATTTTTTCTCGCACAAGACACATTTGAACCTCTTCTCTACGGTGTGGGTTGGCAGACGGATCCGCCGGGTCTTCTCCCCTGTGTGTGTTTTGAAATGCATTTGAAGGTTGCCAGGCCAAGAAAAGGTCTTTAGGCATATGGTGCACTCAAAAGGTTTCTCCCCAGTGTGATGGTACAGATGTCTTCGCAAGCTCCCAGCTGTAGTAAACTTCTTCTGGCACAAGGAACACTCAAATGGCTTTTCTCCTGTATGCTTTTTCTGGTGTTCTTTAAGTTTTCCAGATTGAGAGAACATCTTCTCGCACAGAGTACATTTGAACGGTTTCTCACCCGTGTGGGTCCGAAGATGAGCTTTCAATCGACTCGATGAAGAGAACTTTTTCTGACAGCCAGTGCACCCGAATCGCTTTTCTCCTGTGTGAGTACCGAGGTGACTTCTCAGCTCGTGAGATGTGCAGAACTTATTCCCGCAAAAGGTGCACTCGAACGGCTTCTCTCCTGTATGTCGGCGCAGATGAACTCGCAAGCCCGAAGCTGTAGAGAACCTATTGAGGCATGCGGAACACTCATAAGGCCTTTCACCTGTATGCGTTTTCTGGTGCTCTTTAAGGTGCTGAGAACCAGCAAACTTCTTCACGCACAATGTGCAGTTGAACCGCTTCTCTCCGGTGTGGGTTCTCAGATGAATGTACAAAGAGCTTGATGAAGAGAACTTTTTCTGGCACCACGTGCACTCGAACGGCCTTTCTCCTGTGTGAGTTCGCCCATGGCCTTCAAGCTCGCCGGATGTGCAAAACTTCTTCCCGCACACGGCGCACTCGAATGGCTTCTCAGCCATGTGCACTCGACGCAGGTGCGCGCGCAGATTGCCCGGCAGGGAAAACGTCTTTCCGCACACGATACACTTGTTTTTTTGCATGATTCTGTCGGAGGTGAATCTGCGGAAAGAGAGACAACTACTATTCTTACCCTCGGTCACGTGATTTAAAGGAAAACGCGCAAAACCGAAACAGAAAATAGCAAAATTTGATGTCTTTTAAAGCGTTTCGGAAAATTTTCCATCGTGTTTTAACATGAAACGTTGTCATAAAGCTGAAAACGGTTCAACACTTTTAAATTGCAATTTTGATTTCCTTTAGTTGCGTTTCCGTTACGCGACACGTTACGATGCCCCGCTGGGGGCACACTCACTTGGAGCGGCACTTTACCTAGACATCCATAGTCACGTTATATTTGCATACAATGCAAGAATTTGAAATGCTTGTCGCGCTGAAATTTTCTGAAGTCATACAGCTTTCAGTCGAAATGCAAAACGTTTTTAAAATTTCATTTAGAATATCATCTCACCAGATTTTCCCGCATTTTCCCCCCATGCACTCTGTTGTTTTGCCCCACTGTTCCGACACGGCGCCAAAAGGCGCAAACGCTTGTGTGTGCGACAAATAACGCC